GTCATTACGAAAGCTCGGAGTGTCTGAACATGAAAAGTTCCGTAATCTTATCCTCCCAAAGAAGCCAACCGACATAACCTTCAGAGAAACAGTTGAGTGCCTGACACGTATATTCGGTGAAGGATCACCAGTTTTTCACACTAGATTCCAGTGTCTCCAGCTTGTGAAAAAACCACAGGACGATTATATGACGTATGCAAGCATCGTGAACCGGGGATTTGAACGGTTCCGTTTACAGGAAATACCCTCAGATCAATTTAAATGTATTATCTTTGTATGTGAGTTACAATCTGCAGCAGATGCAGACATCAGAACATGCAGTTTAACGAGGATAGAACAAGGTCCTAATATCAGCCTGCGATCAGTATCTGAAGAATGTCAAAGAATGGTTAATTTGAAGCATGACACAAATCTAGTAGAAAAGAACAATGAACACGTGGAAGTTTAAACCTTGCTGAAAGCTTTTAGTGGAAACACGGATCAGTACCCTCATCAAATTCTAAAGCAAACGAAACCCAAAACGTGTTGCTGGTGATGTGGTAAGCGTCATCCTCCTAATGTTTGCTTTTTTAAAAAAGAGTTTGTTTTCGATGTGGTAAATACGGTCATGCTCAAGTATGTTGTAAAAGGGGACAAAAGATTGTCGACCATCAGGGTAAGGCTCGTAAAGGGAATAATACTCAGACATCAAAAGAGATCCCACATAATTCCAGTGTCATTCTGACAACAAAATCTGCTCATTTCTTGTTTAAAATCGAATGTGCAACTTAGTTTTTCAATGGTAAACCTATTAAGCTGCAAGTTGATACGGCATCCGACATAACATTAATTTCTAGAAAGACGTGGATGAACCTTAGTCGACCTCGATATCATCCTACATTTTAAAACGCTAAGAGTGCAACAAGAACCAATATTACTCTTCTTGGTGAAATGCAGTTACCTATCACATTAAGTGACAAGACTATGACCGGAAAATATTATGTGTCTGGGAACTGTCATACCAACTTACTAGGTATTGACTGGATAAGTAAATTTGGTTTATGGGATCTGCCTCTGAGCACATTTAACACTTCAAAGTGTAAAGTAGTAGTTACAAATTAAGAAACTCCTCTCTAGTAGTATCCCGAGTCGAAAAAGGTTCAGGAGTTCTGGTGCCCTACGACTTAAAGTCTTACACCAACTGTGACAGAAATGCCTTTCGAGCAAACCTTGCACTGGTAACATTGAAGCGCATTTTTGGTCAGTTTGACGGGAGAACTTTCCACATAATCTTCAATAGTTTCATTCGTCCCTATTTAGAGTACGGAAACATAGTATTCCCTCCTACACTCCAAAAGGATAAGAACACTCTGGAGCGTATCCAACGCCGAGCCACGAAATCAGTTCGGGGACTCAAATTTAAACCTTACGATGAACGCCTCCAACCACTCGACCTTTACCCGTTAGAGTATAGGCGTCTTAGAGGTGACCTTCTAATGGCTTACAGTATCCTTAACACTCCTGGACATCCTCTTAAACACCTACTTAGGCTTAGTCCCAACACTAACCTAAGGGGTGACACTCAGAAATTAGAGATACAACATAGTAGAACGGACTGCAGGCACAACTTCTACTCCTTAAGAGTTGTCGAATGCTGGAATTCGCTGCCGGCTGAGCTAGTCTAAGCGACTTCCCAGGAGTCCTTTAAGAGGCGACTTGATCTATTCTTAAGGACTAGGGATAGTATCTTACTATGATTTACCAATTTCCTTTTCTTCTCTTTTATCGCTAGCATACCTAGGTTCTTGCCTGGAGGTATTGGTGATCCTCTGCTACTAGACACGGAAGCCTGTTAAGCGAAAGCTTCTTCTATTCCGTCCACAACCATTTGATTGTTCCATTACAATAAACTGCTTTTTGGTATAAAATGAGCCCGGCAAATTTTCAACAAGTCAAGGACACCATGTTAAGTAATGTCCCGTTCGCCATGGTATATATGGATGATATTATTATTGCCAGTAGGAGTGAAAAATTCCCTATGACCACTTTCAAGAAGTTTTTGCACGTATTAAAGGGTATGACTTTCGTATAGAAGTAGAAGTGTTATTTCCTATGCTAAGTATTCGATATTTAAGAACAATTATCGATTCTCAGGGACGTAGACCTGATTCTGAAAAGATACATGCCATTGTAGATATGCCAGCTCCATCTAATATTAAAATTTTTCAGTCATTTCGGGAATAATTAACTATTATAGCCACTTTATGCCAAATATTTATGCCCTGCGTGCTCCATTGAGTGCACTGTTGACTAAGAACACTAAATGGAACTGGAATAAGGTATGTCAAGTGTCCTTTGAAAAAGTGAAACAGATCTTGGTTGTCAAGGTTAATTGCTAATAACCGCAAGTTAGAGGAAGGTAGCGTGGTTGCTTCTGTATCAATTGAACTGGAAATAAAAAGAGCGTTCTGTGATGCAATTAGAATCCTACCAGTAACGGCGGAAGTGGTTAAGGAAGTAACGGCTAATGATCCTCTACTCAAAAGAATAAAAGGAGCTGTTTTAAAGGGTTGGAAAGAGGATAAGGCTGATCGAGAGTTTCACCAATTTTTTCTGAGACGTGAGTCTATATCGATTTATGATAATTGTTTGATGTATGGCGATCGTGTTGTTATCCCTAAATCTCTTCAGTTTTTTGTGCTTAGACAGTTTCACATTGGTCATCCGGGAATGAAAGCAGTTATGCGTAGTTATGTCTATTGGCCATTCATGGATAAGGTTGTGGAAGAACACGTATTAAGATGTCGTCGATGTGCCGAAGGTGCAAAAGATCCACCGAAAGTAGAATCCCATCCATGGCCAGAAACGAAAAAGCCTTGGGTTCGACTACACGTCGATTATGCTGGACCAATGAATGAACAATATTTTTTGGTGGTGGTAGATTCATACTCAAAATGGCCTGAAATTTATGTTGTGCGAAGACCGTCTACGTCTGAAACACTGTTGCATCTCAGACAACTATTTGGTAGGTTTGGGACACCTAATGTTTTGGTTTCAGATAACGGGACGCAGTTCACGTCGTCGGAGTTTGCGGAATTCTGTAGACAAAATGGAATCGAACACATTAGAACTCCACCGTATCATCCTCAGTCAAATGGGCAAGCAGAAAAATTTGTTGATATTTTGAAGTGAGCTCTCTTAAAGATGGGAAGAGAAGATAATCTAGAAGAGGCTCTGCAACAGTTTTTAATTTCTTATAGAATTACACCGAGTTCCAACTGTCAAGACGGGAAATCACCAGCCGAAATAATGTTTGGCCGACCAATTAGAACATTTTTTAATGTTTTGAATCCGAAAGACAGAATGTATGAACTACAAAAATTAAGGAAGGGAATTATTCGAAGATTCGAGAATTCAAAGTAGGTGACTTAGTTTATGCACGTGATTTCCGGCCTGGCAAGCCGAAATGGATATTTGGATGTATTAAAAAAAGACGTGGGACTGTATTGTATGAAGTTGTGGTAGAAATTACTAATCATCAGACATATCAATCAACTGAGAGACAGAAATGTTTATGAGTCACCTAAAGCCAAATCTTTACCAATCGAAGTATTAAGTGATACTTTTAATATCCCACCACCACCACAAGTTGAAATGAAAAAAATGAACTGAAATCAGAAGCCAGCCAAAAATCATCAAGGGAACGAAAACAAACGAGATTTTTTCAAATAGACCCAAAAGTCACACGACCAAACTTTGCGAGGGTGGTGATGTGTGGGTTAGAATGATCATGATTGGTTGTCTGCTTAGTCAGACATGTAAACAGTCTGACAGGTGTCAGATAAGTTATATATTCCCTTACACTTATTATTGTAACTCACTCTTATATACATCCTATTATTGATTGTTCAATGTTGTGGATTGTGTCGGTTTCGGGTGTGAAAATGTATTACGTTCTGCTCTGGCTGATTACGTGTTCTTGATCTGAGTTTTGTTGAAGTCCTGTAGAATAGACACTGGAAGGGATCTGGTGTAGATAATCGTTTAAGCGTTACATCAGACAAGGTAATACCGAGCGTTATAACAGTTAGAATAAAATCTAAATTAACTGATAGTTTTTAAGATATACGACAAAGTCTCTGAAGGAACATCAGCTCTGGGATGCAGATAAATCCAGTTGAAGAATCCGAAATAGGACGAAACGCGCGTTCTGGATTCCACTGCTAGCCACCACGCATCCTTGCTTATAAAGCTTGTGATTTAAGGCTATATCGAGGCAATCCGCACAGGATGCACATATGCCGCAAGAGACTGGTCAATTTCAGTCGTAAATAACAATGGGAAGATACAATCAAACAATACAAAGTGAATTTTTACGAGTGTAGCCTTAAATTCTGCATAAGTAAATAAATACCTACTTAGGTGGAATTCCTTTTTGTATATTTCTGTATATGGGATCGGATGAGAACCGGAGAGAGCAAACCAGCTTCTAGCTGAAGAAGAGATTAGGAAAAGACGTTGGAAGTAGATAGAACACACATTGAGGAAGTCATCAAACTGCATAATGCGACAAACGCTAACTTAGAACCCTGATGGGAAACGGAAAAGCAGAAGACCGTAGAACACCGTGCACCGAGAATTAGAAGCAGACATAGAAAGGATAAATAGCAACAGGAAAGAATTGCACAGGACAGAGTTGAATGGCGAGTGCTGGTGGGCGGCCTATGCTCCTACACGATGGGTAACAGGAGTAAGTAAGTATATGTGGGACCGTCGAATATATAAGTCAGAATGTACATCCATTCTGTGGGTACCACAAATCCTTATTCGGGAGCGCGACAAGTGGGACGTTTGGAGGTGGAAAGCTGACTGAAATCGCAACTTTCCCCATTCTGAATCGTATACTTATCGATATACATTCAGTCCGCGCTAGCGACAGTGAAGCAGTAATTGTTGCTAGCTCAGAAACAAAACCTTCAAGCTTATGTATGGAGTTTGTAAATAATATAACAAAGCGATTAAACACATTAAAACATGTTAACGTACATAAAAACACTCCATTTTGTTTACAAAGTGATAAACTGTACAAATTTAGATTTGAAAGCTTTTAGGTAATAATGATGAGTTGCTACTGCGATATATTACAAATAAATTAGTTCAGTGAAGGACTTCTGTTTACGTTCCATTTGATTCGTATTGTAGGCCATTTTGTTGCCAAGCACTGCTGTATAGGACTTTGATCAATAGGCTGGGTCTCGATAAGCTCTTCTGTAGGATCTATTAAGCGGGCTTCACCAATACTGTATCGAACCTGTTTACACAAAAAGTGTCGTAAGCACTTTAGAGATAGTTGCTTTCAACAATATGAATTATACGATCATTGTAACTAAATTTATTTATTTGAACACAAGTATTGGTACAGGGGGGCACCAAATATATATGCGCCACACAAAACAATGAGGATTTAAGAAGGGGAAAAAAGTAAGGAACGTAGGGGATCATAAAAAAAAAACAATAATGGGGGGAAACGAAAAGGTACACTCAGAAGAAATCTTACATTTAAGGAGGATACAGCCACTTTTTATAAAGAAAGTAAGAGAAGGTTACAGCAGGATCGCCACTGGCTTCTATTCTGAGCCATATCTGATAACGTCTCCAGCCACTGTGTTACACCGTCTCTCGGACCCCAGCCAGGGAGTCGTGAAAGACCAACAGAAGCTAGCCCTTTGCAGCTTTCTTTCATATACTGACCACCTCTCCGCTTTTCCCAACCAGTCTCAGAGTCGGCAAATAATACACGACGAGGAATTCTCTGGGACGACATTCGTAGAACATGTCCAAGCCACTGAAGTCGGTGTTTCAAGATGGTGACACCAATTGCATTATCGTCTCTGTGCCCAAACACACGATGCTGAACCTCTGCATTACTAAAATGGTGTTGTCACTGGATACCAGCAATCCTTCGGAGACAACGATGATCGAACACAGAGAGTCGTCTAATGGCCAGTTTTCACAAGCATAGAGCAGAACTGCTCTCACCGCCGCGTTGTAGATTCGACTTTTTACAGCCAGACCAACATCACGAAAGCGCCAAAGGTGGCCCAGATTGGCATAAGCCGCTCTGGCTTTCACTATACGTGCATTGATCTCATCACTCACGCCACCACCAGCACTTATGCAGCTACCTAGATACACGAACTTCTCGACCACTTCTATCTGCTCACCGTCCAGAGTGAGTACAGGATTAGAATCCTGCCAGTCTTGTAGGAGTACTTTGCACTTCGAAGGTGCGAAGCACATACCATACCTACGGACATTGATTGCCAACTGATTAAGTGCGGATTGCATAGCTTGGGCATTCTCGCACAGTAAGACAATATCATCCGCATACTCAAGGTCGAGAAGTCTTTCTCCAGGCAACAGGTCTACACCACCATTACTTACATCCGCCAGAGCTGTTTCCAGAATGTCATCGATGGCAAAGTTGAAGAGGAATGGTGAGATTGGACAACCCTGCCTAACCCCACTGCCCGAATGGAATAGCGGAGAAAGGTGGTTGTATGCCCTCACTCTGCCTGAGGTGTTTGTGTATAGGGCTTTTAGGATGTTAATAAACTTCTCAGGCACACCCTTTTTCAATAGACAATCCCAGAAAACAGTTCTGTCCAACGAATCGAAGGCAGCCCTGATGTCAAGAAACACTACGATTGTTGGCCTTTGATAAGTATGGCGGTGTTGTAATTGTATTGTTATTATTATTATTTACCACGTCATTGTAACTAAATGTTGTGTAGTAACGTTTCTTTTACCATTAGCGATGGGTTCATAATAATTTTAAGAGCTAATGTTTCGGCCACGAAGTAAGAATGTAAGGAATCGACTTAAGCATTTCACACTATAGAAACTTCTGGGACTTATATTTCAACTGAACACAATCAGAAATCATATTTTTTTACTCAGTTCAAAACGGTCGAATGGGACACATGAAGTTTTAGGTCCAAACCAGCTTTATTGTTTAAGACCTGGATATGCGAGTGAAATCAACAACACTCGTATAAAAAATGTAACATATAATTGGACTTGGTTATTGAGTTAAATTGCTTATTTTATTTTTCAAATGTTTGTAAGCCTTATATGGAATACTCAAAAGATTTCATAAGTAAGGAATAATTGGAATAACTTACCCGACCATCAGTATTAGAGTGTTCCAAACCATTATAATGGATTAACTGAAAGCTAATAACTTCAGTGGTGTGCTTTGCCATTTCTTCGGGAAAAAAGAACTGTAGGAAGTCTTTCTTCAAAATTATTCCTAAACCTTCAGGATCTAGTTTTGTAACTAAATCATTTACTCTGTAAGATAAAATAATTACGACCCGTTGAATATAATACAAATAATAATCCTACCATGAAGTTTGAGTGAGAATATAATAATTCTGACCGATACTTATTTCTACCATGTCTTACCTTCGTGTGATTGGAAACCATCAGGAAAAATGCTGAAAGTCAATCATAATGACACAGGTGTTCGCTTTCAGCATGTGAAGACCTTCTACTAAACATTTCCATGCTCCATAAAATTGGTTATTTACTGATATGTTATAAAGCATGGTAGTAGCTTGAAACGATATCCGATATTAGGCTATTTATTTATTCTGGATTCTAGAGAAGTGACTTCGTTACCGTAATTTATGAGGTTATTACGAACTTTTAATACGAGTTAGTACATTCCTGAGGATTACGACTGCCATAATTCCCATGAGGTTGAATATTTGTGTAGTTTTGAATGTTATGATATGGATATTAGCTTATGTATGGAAAGCTTGAATATAATACACCGCAATATATTGCCGAATGGTATGCATTCATCACAGCTAAGCTGGAGCTTTGTCATTTATACTACCCATACTAATTAGATCTCGTGATTATGAGTTGAGAATATGGTATGTTGGTGTACTAAGCTGCTACTTCGCAACTTTAACCTCTATATGGAGAGTGAGACTACTGCTATCCTCTTCCTTCCAAGCTTACTAACTAGAATAAGAAGTTCAACTTCGTGATGAAAGCTACTTTGATAACGACCTCGGTAGAATTTAAAAAATCATCTCAGTTAATTATCTGTCGATCACAATGAATATAATTTGTGAACGAAGGTAATTGTCAACTAATACAAATTATGGTGAAAATGAATTGAAAGCCCACAAAGTAATGCATTAAAAATGTGTTGAAAGATGACCTTACATTAATCTTAAATCGATATTGATTTCCTTCCTCAAGTAGTACTTGAGAACTTCCACATATACAGACAATGGAGGTCCTCTTAATCTCATATGCCTGTGTTTATGTATTATTGATTACGTTTCTGTTATTCTCATTTTGCATACAGATATCTGTGGTTCATCTATAGCTATCGGAGTTATATTTACATTTATAAGTGATAGAATTATGCATCGTGTCAATGATATTCATTACTACCAGAAATTTGTGTTTTCCAATCAGTGAAAAAAAACATTGTTACTGACGTTACGTTATTCAGTTACAATCGCGACAAGTCACTAACAAAAATTTTGTTTTGTCTTTTCAAAGACTGAAAAATAAAAATTTATAGTAACGAAATAACTATAGTTTGTAAAGGTCGGTGGAAAAAGATTTGACAGTGATTTTAGGAAATTTACTTACTGTTGGGATCCCGTAGATAGGCGCAATTTGGTCAGTAATTTTTCAAAATCTGACGAACTGATAAAACCACCAGTATCTTGGTCTGGGCTCAGATAATCAAACTCAATTTCAGCTTGACGTAAACCTGATATGGAGTTAATTTCTGACTTTACATTTTTTGACACCAACGACATATCTGGCGACGCCAAAACGGTCAAATGTGTCTCAGATCCCAAAATCCAAACTGGGTAACATGGATTTTTTAAAAACCATCCCACTTCACAATATCTCATTGCTTCAATAAAAGTCAAGAAACCGGTTTTTGGTTGCCTGGATATACCTTTCAATGCTTAACAGAGAAGCAAACACAAGAAATAGTGAAATATTTCATGAATATGCTTTAGAGACCATATTGTATTTACACAAATTTGATGACTGGAAGTTACTGATTATGATCATTCAAAAGTATAACTGATGTTCGTTGATCAAGACATTCGGGAAATGAGAAGCGCGTGTAGATATTTTACACGCGGCATAACATTTCTACATTAAACTGATAATTGACACACTTGGTGAATTCTGAAACCTCAGCAAATTAGTGAGGTACAGTTACTTTTAAAAGTAAATTTACAAAGGTAGTAGCAGTGCATGCAATCTTCAATGACCGTCAAATCGATACTAAAATTATCAAAATAATACAGTTTTTTCCAAAGATAAAAAAAGCCGAATAACTGAAGATTTCCATATACTACTAAATCCTGCTGCTCTTAATAGACAAGAAAGCCTTACCATCTATTTAATTTAAACCGTTTATCTAACCCAACACATCTGAATCTATTCACACTGCACACTTTCTTCACACAAATCCAGCTTGAATTTCTGACATTACGAATATTGCTTTGTTTACACCTATTAGCATACAAAGATATAAGCATGTCTCATAAAAATCACCTTGAACGGAGTGAAAAAACATTGACTTAATCAAATCTGTTTTTTGATTGATTAGCAAGTTGAAGCAATTCGATAGTATAATAAGATCACAAAGATTATCAGAATTAAATGATTTATTAGCGCAATGCATTTCGAACAACCTGATCATATATATACTTGTTAAGAATATTTATATATAAAAACAAGAGATCAACTAGACTACAAATGGAAGGTGAGAGAAGACAAGGATAATAAAGAAAATAATGTGAAAAAAATTGAAACGTCATCACTCTGGATAATAATCTAATATTACCAGGGTAAATTTAAGGTGAGAACAAACTGTTGTTTTGATAAGTATTTTTGCCCCATTCTTTTGTACTATTTAAATTTAGGCCAGTTTAATTTGTCTATTTATCTTCTGAAGAAGCGAACTGTATTGAGTTACGAAATATTGAGAAATTTAATTCTCTACTCTTTGAGACATTACGAATATATGTCACTATTTTTACTATTACCAATCTACCCAATGCTCAATTCGTTTGAAATTATTAGGTTAAACTTTAGTAATGATACCTATATACTCACATCTAGTACATAAATTTTAGAGATAAGCCACTAAGCACGTGAGACAATCAAATAGCTGATTATATGGACCTTTGATGAATTAACAAAACAGAATCATACTAGCAAGTCTTAATGTTATCGAGAAGAATCGAATATTTTGTAAGGAAATCTGGGTAAATTCGATGTGCTTCACTTCCTAAATGTGGGCTTTCATAAAACCTCTGAACCATTTATACACTTTGAATAAGGTAGATTGATGTAAATTTGCATTACACATAGTGTCAACCACACTTATTCACTCACATTGTACGACTATACAAATATGCCAGGTAATTTGTAGACGTTTAGTCTAGTAGCCACGTATAAGTCTGTGTACCAAGCTTCTAAATCCAAGTAACTAGAATATGTTCGAAAACCAGATCAATTATTAAGTGGAAAATGTTTTCATTTTAGGTATTTCCATCTTAATCAACTTTGGTAAGTGATAAATTTGGGTGGTTTGGACAACCCATGTGCTTAAAATGAATTATTTCTCGCAAATTCTCATCTAAGTAAATGCTCACTGTATCACTTAATTAAAGGAGAATATACACTCACTGATATTATTAATTTAGGCGAAAATATATGATGCATACAATTGAGTTGGTCAAGATGCTCTTAACTGTCATAAGTAAAACAAGACTCGCTGGCATCAAGAGTCCAGTAACGTTATAGAAAACGCAGGTGGCGTATAAAGCTTGAATATAAACTGGTAAATATTAAAAACGATTAAAATTAATGACAGACCTCTCTGAAGTTGTTTCGAACGTGTTCAAACAGAAGTTTCCTTGATATACTATAGTATATTAAGGTATGAAAATATACATTTCATATGAATGAATAGCCCTGGTTTATCTATGAATCACCCAGTCTTTATATCAAGTACTTTGGGTTTCATTAGAACTCTTTTGTAATATTTCTTAACGCTTGATGTTAAACTCAAGAGATCACCAGATTTAAATGAATAGAAATTTTAATAACATGGAACTCAAGTACATTTAGCAATATGACTCAGCTACTGTATGGTTTTACACCACAGTAGAAACTACTATATTTCGTCTCCATATTTGACTAATCGATTGCAGTAGAAATTTTAGGAAGAGGTTTTAAACAGGTTAATTAAACGAACAACCCATACCAGCAGGAGTCCATTGAAAAGTGTAGATTAACAATGGCAAGGAAGTTGACTGCCGTCCCGTGAAACGCGCTTGTAAACATTGGACCTCTTCAACTCCCTCTAAAATGTGTTGAGATACGTTGGTCTACTTTCGATAATCGCAAGTGTGATATTATACGCAGATTTTCAACTCAGGTTTTCACAAAGCTTACGGCGTAAGGAAAAAGAAACCTGATGATCAAAGCTTGTTAACAAGTTTGTAGCAGCAACTATATGTGTTCTCTACTGAGATTTGCTACAAATCACGGTACCAAGAATTACTATATTAATACAATGGTTTGCGAAGGTGATTCCATACTAATCAGTAGTCCTCAAAGGCACGTTAAACCTTGGGCAGGGTACTTTAAGGGACAGTCCAATTAATGACCTACACACCACTCGCTTCAAGGGAACTGATTAGATCGTTTGAAAAGGTTTGAGAAACAGTGTTTCATTTTATTGAAGGTGGTTGGTTTATAACACATTCCTGTGGTATGAAAGATAACTATGTATGAACAGGGTTTGTTAGTCTATCTCAATTCTTCAGCTTGGATCCAAAAGACTGTGAAATTTAGCGGCTTCAAAATAGAAGCCGATGACGATTATACTATCGTTTTCCATTATTCTTAATAAAAATGAGATAAACTCTTTGTACTGAGTCTTTTTTTGATTGTATTTCCAAATGAGCTGTATCCTTATTAAATAATATTATTGCTCATTTACTTATTTATTGTACTACCGTTGCCTTTTTTATGTCTTCACAATTTAAGTACTTCGTTTGAGTAGTGCATTGTTGATACTATATATCAGAATTTGTACCTCATAAATTAAATAAAAATGCTTACAAAACCGAGATGCTGCCTATTATTTAGAGTGAGCAATGAACAAACTGAATAAGCGAGCAGTATATTCTATTTAATATATATCTTGAATAAATTAGGGCACAGAAGTAGGCTCCGTTCTACTTCATAACCGTAAGATATGGTATATGAAAGTAGGAGACGTATGTAGACTGAAGATTATTGATCATAAGTGTCTTTGAAGCATTCCTCGAGTTTCGAGAAACGATCAAATGAGCAAGCATAGGTGCCAAATCGGTTGATGAGTTTCTAAATCTCCATCGACTGATATAGCTAGGGTATGTGTTATGTATCTCTGACTACCCACCTGTCTCGACAAGTGATGTTCGTCAGTGCAACAGCAGTTTGGAAGAAAGCTAAGGGCGCTCATATTGGTAGATGCAGACCACTTGGTTGGGGTGTGTGATAATTGGGATCAGCGGTTGGAGACTTTGAGCGACATACCTCAGAATCACTTACAATGGTGCGCATGCATCCAATATTTATCTTCCTCTTGATCTTGAATTTCACTGTCCCTTCATATATAACTTTTAACTTCATCTTTCTTAATCATACTTCCAAGGTTTAATCTTTCTTTTTATCACTGCTACTAGATTATTTTGATCTTTCTGATTTATATATCTCGTCGCTCTAATCTGGTATGGAATATGGTGCCAACGTACATTTGTGTCCAGTTGATGATATCTGTCTTCCTGAATATGCTCCAATTAATAATTGCACTGAATTAGATAAAATGTTAATTGATATCTTTTAATGCCAGTTTAACAATCAAACGTAAATACACTTACTAAATCCTCCGAGATCTCTTTCACCATCAAACAAATATGGCGTGCTCTCCCCAGTAATTAATAAATTAATCAGACACTGACTAGCATGTCCATGAATCGGATCAATCAAGGCATCCATTTCACCATTCATTTCATTTATAAGTGACTGAAGTCCATGTGTGAACAAAACAGAATAAAGGAAGCACAATACTCCATACTTTGATTTTATTTGAGGAAGCAACGAGAAAGCAACTGCACGGAGTTCTTCGACAGTTTCGGCTTCGAAGCATCTAATTGAAAAAAATACGTTACTTGTAATTACAAGCATAGATTAAAATACACTAGCCAAAAAACGTTGCTTAATAAGATATACCTAAACTTGAGGTTATAAGAATATCGATGTGATAGCTATTAGACTAAAACCAATATAGAACGGTGTTAGAAACGCGCCTTCATGTTAATAACGCAGAGGTTCGAGTGCAGAGACAATAATCCAATTGGTATCACCTTCTTGAAACACCGACTTCGGTGGCTTGGGCATGTTCTATGAATGTCGTCCCAGAGAATTCCACGTCGTGCATTATTTGCCGACGCTGGGACTGTTTGGAAAAAGCGGAGAGGTGGTCAGTCAGTCAGTCAGTCAGTAACAACGTGGAACTTCGTACGTACGTACATCAGTTCGAGTTGCCATACCACATTAGCACAGAGATTCAGTTATCGATTCAAATCCCATAGTGGTAGAGGTACTGAAAGTATAAGTAGAGATAGGGGACATTAAGGTTTGATGATGTTATTAAAGGAGTATAGTCCAGTGGAATAAATTGGGAAAGAAAATAAAGGACACGAAGAATTCAGAAGATTAGAGTTTGAGAGAACACAAAGAGTGGATGCACCTGCGCCATTGCAAACGATTTTGAGCCATGTCATTCAAGGTATCTAACCATCGGTTGGTGTCGCCTTGTAGATTCCAACCAGGTAGTCTACACCAACCAACATGGCTCAGTTCACTTGTCAGTGACTTCATGAACCTCTGCCATGTTTTAATCTGACCGCCCCTAGCTTTCTTCCAACCTACTCTTACACCATAAAACATCGCACGTCAGGGCAGTCGGTGGTCGGGCATACGTAACACATGTCCCAGCCATCTCAAATGATTGAGTTTCACTACTTCATCAATTGATTTTCCATCCTTACCTAGTACCCGTTTCCTAACAACTGAGTTATTTACTCGGTGGTCCCAGGATATACGAGCAATGTTTCGAAGACATCTATGGTCAAATACTAGTAACCTACGAATATCCTCTACTCTTACCGGCCATGTTTCACTGCCATAAAGTAGGACGGAACGAACTGCTGCGCAGTAAACACGTCCTTTGGTTGATAGACGGATATCTCGCCTACGCCACAAATGACGCAAGTTGGCAAAAGCTAGTCGAGCCTTTTGTATCCGTGCTGAGATTTCGTCACACACCAAACCACAAGGGCTGATGAGACTTCCGAGATAAGTGAAGCGGTCGACACGCTCAACTACTTCACTCCCTATCACTAGTTCGGGTGTCGACGCAACCCAATCCTGAAGTAACATTTTGCATTTCGAGGGAGAGAATCGCATGCCGAACAGGCTTGCATTGTTGCTTAGAGTGGTCAGAAGACTCTGCATTCTGTCAGCGTCTTCACTAAATAGAACTATGTCATCGGCATATTCTAAGTCAACAAGTGGATCTCCCGGTAGAAGTTCAACTCCTGGAAATTTAGATGAGGAAAGTGTCATCTCTAAAAGAACGTCAACGACAAAGTTAAACAAGAATGGAGAGAGTGGACAGCCCTGACGAACACCACTTGAGGTAATCAATTCTGATGACAGTTCACCATAAGCTCTCACTCGACCAGATGGTCAGTTTATGACATGGTGTCGTGGTATGAAAGAAAGCTGCAAAGGGCTGGCTTGTGTTGGTCCTTTACGACTCCCTGGCTGGGTTCCAAAAGATGGTGCAACACAATGGCTGGTTGTACCTTTCCGTTTCCCCCATTGTTATTATTATTATTACACTACCATACACTAATCTGTGGTCGTTATTGTTCCTTTTTTCTTTTCTTTCTAATACGCACCTCGCCTTCTTTTCTCTTCCCATTCTCATTGTTTTGTGTGGCGCATACATATCTGGTGCCCCCTTGTACCAATATTTATATTTTCAAATAAATAAATAAAATAAGTAGATAAGCTTTTGAGTGAACTGCCGTAGGGCAAATCAATACTAACCACAATAAATAACATAAATTCACTTTCAATGTTTTTCTTACAAAAAAATTCAAGTCAAATTGGATTTATAATCATAGATGACGACAACAAGAATATTATTTTATATTCAAATTTCTTCTGTTTACAATAACCGCTAAAAATATCAAACTGATGGTTCACTAAAAGCATAAAAAACATCTAAACCTGAGTTTACAATCATCAATCGAGGACAACACGGGTATAATATGATAGTACCATCTCGTATCACAAACTGTTGAAAAAGAACATAACAATCCAGGAAGACATGAGTTTAGATAAACTTTACGACCGCACAAATGAAATTAAATAATGAAATCCACCGAAGACTACCGAAATATGCCGACACAAACTATCTGATGACTACATCAATGTTTAAGTGAAGATTAATAACACTATGATAAGACTGAGTACTACATACGAGAAAATGTCAAATTCAAAGGGTCCGAATAACATAGTTAGCAATCGCTCCGAAGGAACGGCTACATACAAACGCACAAAATGTATTAATACTTTTTCATGGAACCATGCCCAAAAAATCATACTAACCTGTAAGCTTACATTTACAAATGCTTCTTACTACAGATCGAGCATAAAAAAGAGAATAATAGTCAGTAGTTCGACAAATAGGAAATTCCTTTCAGACCCTTTATCATACACCAGACTGTAAGATGCATCGAAAATTGGGATGAGGACAAAGTTCATTGAACAATGCTATGAAGGTTATTGACTATTTTTGATCAATACACACATTTTCAACTACTTTACCTATCACCTTACCATTACTTCGTACTTTTGTTTATTATGATTAGCTATGTAATCTATTTTTATCGCTGTAATTGGCCCATAACTTAGCTGTAATTGTTTGATAATTTCTATAAATCCTTATATTACTGTGCATCAGAGTAAAGCCTGGTGAAGATCTATTTTCAAAACAATATCGCTCTCTTAAATGTGTTGTTCTACTAAAGCTTTTGACCATCTTTGCTTCTTAGAACTGTTTTTTTATCCCAATTCGATAACATTAACTTTGAGTAGAAAGTAAAATGAAGAAATCCACATTTTGGAAAACACGTGCAGCTTACCTTAAACCATTAATAAATTTCTGGAAACCACATTCTCCAAGCTGGTTTATATTAGGATCCAATGACTTATTGACAGCACTAAAATCACTGGTGGCACATTTTTCATCTAAAATAAAATTCCCGAAATCACTCTTGTTACAAACTTTGAATGGAAGACTCAGAACTCGCTGCTTCTTCATCTTCGCACCAGTAAACCCAGCAAAAATGGCTTTGGCGATCACTCGAAACCAGTAGAATTATTCTTAACAGTGCGCTAAGTAGAATTTCCATATTGTCGACATCTAACTTTTAGTGCCCATTTCATGACAAAAATGTACCTGTAATATCAGCTAGATTCTGCTTGCGAATGAACAAAACCTCGTACATAATTGTGGCTTGAGTAGTAGCTATAATAGCACATGGACCACCTGTTGATTGTACCAAAGCACTGAACTCAACAGGGCTGAATGAAAATCCTAAGCAAAGTTACAGTAACGAAAACTATTCACCTTGACACCAACGTTTGAACAAATCTGTCTTCACATCGGATCCACCCCATATAACACGATTGAATTCACGTATCCGGGCTATACAGCTCTCAGTCATCAATAGTTCGTTAATTGGTACTGTAAAACAACCGTTTGCATATCCCACAAACTACTGGAAACTGAGTGAAAGAAAATGACAGATTTGTGGAAACTGTTCAATTTAGAATTTGAATGGAGAATATTTTTGAGGAAAGATGTTTTTGTCACAAACTTGGAATATCGAGTAAAAAAATTTTATTACCATGTACAATCGAGACAAATAAATATCTAGAAGTCGAACCGCTGAAAGTATTTCAGTCAGTAGGATTAAGTACCAGATAATCGTTCTCAAACAAAGCCAGGAATTCAAACTCATTACAAAACAAAAAATGTTTAGATATAAGGTACTTAAACGATTACCACGCACATGATATTTGTCTTTAATCATATTTTAGGAGGTAAAAGTCAATAAACAGGGAATGAACTAAGCCTAACAGTCAGTTCTTAATTTCCTGGAGGGTGAGAGAATTATAAGACTGATATTGGTTAATGGTTTACAACACAATGATGTTTACTCTTATGTTGCCACCGCGAGACGGTAGCAACCGATGGTTAGAGACCATGGATGACATGGCTCAAAACCGTTTGTAATGGCACAGGCGCATCCGCTCTTTGTGTTCTCCAAAATTCTAATCTTCTGAATTATACTCTTTGAATAACATCTTCAAACTCTAATCTTTCCGATTACTACTTTTACTACCTCTACCACTACGGGGTTTGAATTGACAATTGTATCTCTGTGCTAATGTGGTATGGCAACTTGAACTAATGTACATACATACGAAGTTCTACGTTGTTGATTGACTGACTGATATGGTATCAATACATATTACCAATCGATCGAAGAATTGTATCCACTAACTGAACAAACCCTAAACGTTTGTTGATCAAATTACAGGCGGCTAGTTTATAACAGTGGTGTTAGAAACGGGATAGATCGTTAAAATGTCGATTTTGTTGGATAATTGAAATATTTGTTTTATTTAATTCATCTAAAACTTATCAACATACTGTCAATCGGATAGATATCGAGCAATACTTACATGAAGTGAAGTCAAAGTCAATAAGAAAATAAAAAACAGTACATCAAAGAAGTATGTTCCAGTTCATGCGACAGTAAAGTGATTGAGGGCAATGACATAACGCATTCAGAGAAGCCTTCAAGTCCTTCTTGATTTAAATACAGCTGGAGCACCGTAACCTTAACTTTTGGAAAAATACTCGACGCGAAATCTAAAATCTTTAAATGCAGATTATGCCCCCGAATTCCCAGGTACGATCGAGGGTGAAAAGGGTTAGGTCACATGGCCACGCTTATACAGCCACTGCCAGGGAAGTCTTACTCACCGCCTCCTCGTGGCGGGGGTGCTGTTTACGAAATTGAGAGAACAAAAAGCGAATGTCCGGCGCTTCAACCGAGCTAAAGGATATGGATGCTTCACCTAGGGGAGTTGGAAGACCCTAGTTCTAAACCAGTGGTGCACATAGGCTCCTGCATCTTGAAGAAACAAATGGCATGTGAACCAATTATTGTTCACCGGCTACCATGGGAGTGAATCTCCTTACGATGCTCTACTGCCTTGTGGATCAGACCTTTAGATCAAGGGTTCCGGGTGTGGCCCCCTAAGAAAACCACCTGCTCCGGTCTGGGCAATATCACAGCCCACACACAAATCAAGTGACTTGTGTGGCATATAAGTATTTGATGCCCCTTTGTACCAATACTTATGTGCTCAAATAAATAAATAAAGATTCTCAACATTTAGATGAGTTTACAGAACATTCAGCTGATCGGACACAACAAACTGCTTATCAAGCAAACTCATGAGCATCACTGACTGCCACAATAACAACGAAAAACCAATTTTAGTACATACAGTATTACAATCCGAACGGTCTGGAAAATTATTAGCCTAGAGAGAGGTCAGGAAGTGAGATTAAAATTGTATTCCTACTTAAGAATCTGGCTATGAAAAAGGACTATCTTAAAATTTATATCGATATCGCGGTTGCAGTGTATAGCAATGATTTATCCGTAGAACATCAATTTCATTAATAAAGGAGAGGAATCATCATGAAAAACGTGAGGGACATAATTTTCCTTGACTCTTTACTGGGAACAAATCTATCTGAGAACGGTCAGTAGAGTGTCTTATTACCCTGGTGTTTAGTTCTGATCAGAAATGACTAAATCATGGACTATTTAAGAAACATACTTACGCCTGTTACTCCTCGTAGAGTAGCATAGGTCGTCCACAAGCATTCCCCATCCAACTCTGTCCTGGGCAATCCTTTCCAGGTCTTATTCATTATTTTCATATTTGCTTCCAACTCTTTACGCAATGTGTTCATTGGTCTTTCTCTTTTCCGTTCCCCTTCAGGATTACAAGTTAGCGCTTGCTTCGTGATGTAGTCTGAGGATTTTCGAAATGTATATCTTACCCATCTCCACCATCTTTCCCCAATTTCCTCTTGAACAGGGAGCTGGTTTGTTCTCTCACACAGTAGGTTGTTGCTGATGGTATTTGGTCAACGAATATTGAGTATCTTACGTAGACAATCGTTTACAAATACTTGTACTTCTTCGGTGATGGTTGTGGTAGTTCTCCAAGCTTCAGCTCCACACAGTAGAACTGTCTTGACGTTCGTACTGAAGAGTCTGTCTTTCATATTGGTTGACAGTTGTTTTGAGTTCTATATGTTCTTTAACTGTAGGAATGCCGTCATTACTTTGCCAATCCTTGCCTTCACGTCTGCATCGAATTGTCCTAGTCTATCAACGGTACTGACCAGGTACGCGAAAGTATCCACCTCCTCCAGGGTTTTTTCTATCAAGTGTGATTGGGTTGGTGTTCACTGTGTTGTATTTCAGGATTTTGCACTTTCTTTTGTGTATGTTGAGGCTTGCTGATGCAGAGGCTGCTGCGACACTATTTGTCTTGACCCACATTTGTTGGTGCATCCAACCTGTTCATCGTATTCCGTGCTTCCCGTCAGATGTGGAAGTCTTCATAATCCAGTCAACCACCAGAAGTGGAAGGGAGAGAGTAAACACTGTCCAAGAAAGTTCCATGAGGTTTTCTATTCACACTGTCAAATGCCTTCGGTCTGTGCACAACCGATCAAACGGAATCCGACCTGTTGATCTAGAAGCTTGGTGTCTACTGAGTCTTTCATCCGGTTCAGCAACACTCTGTTGGAGGCCTTTCCTAGTACTGACAGCAACGTGATACCTCTGTAGTTCATACATTTACTCAGATCTTTATTTGGTACCTTGATGAGGTGTCCTTCTATCCCGTCTATTGGCACTTGTTCTTCGCCCCAAATCTTCCCGAATAGAATGTAAAGCATGTTTGGAGCTACTTCTATGTCTGACTTCAGTACTTCAGCTGGTATATTGTCAGGTCTTGTTGCTTTCCCACTTTTGATTTTCTGATGGCCATCCTGATTTCTTCAATCGTTGGTGGAGTGACATCTATAGGATGGTGTGTATGTTGCTTCGATATCCGATGGATTCAATGGAACTGGTCCATTAAAGAATTTCTCGAAGTATTCTACCTATCTGTTTTTGAGTCTCGGTGATAGTCTTGCCTTCTTTGTTCTTGACCAGTATCCGGTTTACTATATTTTCCTGCCAGTTTCTTTGTCGTATCATATAGTTATTTCATATTTCCTTCTCTTGCAGCTTTGTGTATACGGTTATGTGGAAATATTGTGCCGCCTATAACCAATTTATTGAATACACGGAGATTTGTAAATCTTTCCCCATTTTCGTTTCTCTCTCCCAGTCCGTGTCGTCCCATGATGTCTTCATACCCGGTGTTGTTCATCCCGCCTTTGCCTTTTAGATCTCCCATCGGGATTGTCAGGTCCTTTCCCGAGCACTTTTCTACGAGCAATTGTAGCCACTCGTAGAACTGATCTTTATCATCGTCAATGCTATCATTTGTGGGTGCACAACAGTGGATAACATTCATTGCAATTCACTCCTTCGTTTTGAAGGATCCTTTGATGATCCTGGATCCATGAGATTCCCACCCTATAAGTGCGTTTCAAGCTTCTTTGGACAGCATCACAGCGTGAGGAGCATTTTTCTCTTTGTGACCGGAGTACGGCAACATCTCTTCCGAATCTCAGTGATCTTGAATGCTGTTAGTGATATGAGGACGATTATCACTTCCCGGTTGCCCACACCGTGGAAGGGTTCTTTTAGAGGTACCTGAAAAGGAAATTGAGTTAGAGGTGGTCTTAGAGACTTGACTGGCGTGGTAGGATTTTGAGAAATGATTGTTCCAGCCAGTGTAGCTCGACTAGTTCATTATGATAGGTAAGCCCGACCACCACGTCAAAGTACTGCCAAGTTGAATCTTCTCATTCCTGTTGCTACTTGACTAGTCCTCCCGGTCTCCCACGTTGTCCGGACGGATCTATAAAAGTTGTTGCTCTGGTTGTCAGAAGGAGCATCAGTCTTGTGACTTCCGAAGAATCTCGGCTTTCATCATAAGGCGTCATAATATTTCCTTCAATTCCCGAGGCAGAATTTAAATGGTCTAACTTGTCTACTCTGGTTAGCGTTTTTTAGCAAGGTTGTTTCCTACGGAATGGGATTGCTGACCCCACACCCAACCCTTCTCCTTCATACGGGTTTGGGACCGGCAGTAGCCCAAGAAGAGCTACAGACAGAGTTTATTTGAATAACACTCCCATAATTTCTGGTTATTGCCTTAGTTGGGAATTATATATCGGGTTTTCGTCACGAACTGACATCAGCTATAATGCCAGAAATGTATTTAGCCAAATGGATGAAAGACTTACGCACTAAAATCCGAGATCTGTTATCTTATACCTGATCAGGGCTTCCAGATACACGAAGCGTAAATCGAGTTGGTTCGTTACTTTGACATGGTGCGGTCAAATGAATGACACTACTAGGATCCTGTGTGCGCGTTTCGGAGACGCAGCACACATCGATGGAGCGAGATTCTAAAGTCTTAGCTAAGGAAGCCTGTTGTCCTATTTGGCACAGTGTTCGGACGTTGAAAGCTTCTACGTGTAGTTTGGAGTGTGGTTTCAGGAGACCAGGAATAACATTCCGCGTACTCGAATGGTTCGCACTAGCGGGGCGAGGTGATAAACGGACGTAAGAAGGGTTAGTCGTGGATATAAGAGAGTTATTAGGAGGTGTAGGAAGGATATGAATGTGACCAACTTGGTCTCGTGTGCTGTTACGGGTATGAGGGCTGATATCACTTCCCGGTTGCCCACACCGTGGAAGGGTATTTCTTGAGGGACCTGAAAAGGAAATCGGATTAGTGTTGGTCTTAGCGACCTGAGTGCGTGACCGCAGAGCCCAAGGGACAACTGCTTGAGGCCGGTCGCGCACGGCCTTTTTGTGGGAGGTTTTTAATGTGTTAGCTCCGTTCTTCACAGGGCCTTACCGCTGGAGACGGAAGTCCGTGGGGTAAGGTGAGGTGTGACATTTTTAGGGTCAACCTTTTCTAACCCCTTCCTTCCTTGTGAGAAGGCAGCATCGCTGCAGATGCTGGTTGTCCGAGGGAAACACCTTACTGCTGTCACACCTCTGTACAGTCAGCAGTACGACTTCGCCCTTAGACCTTGAGTTGCTGCTTTTAGTCTTACCGTTCTCCAATCGACCTGCCTGGCATGGTAGAACCTGCAGGAACATGTGTTCCAGCCAATATAGCTCGGTTGGGTCATCACGATAGGCAAGCCCGACCACCACGTCAAGGTAGCAGCTACGGTCGGGGTCAGTATGCAATAGATATAAATAAGAGATTCATCAACCTATTATTAAGATTTAGGCTTGGTATGTAGGTTTGAGATGTACAATTAATGGTCCAAGATTAGGATTAGGACTCACAGTTTAGGTTTTTAGGGTCAGAATTAGTGCCTACAGATTACCATTTATGGTTTGGAATCCAATGGTTCGTATTAAGTTTGTCTAGCTCCATATCACAAACTATAACGTCCACCTTTGCCTAACAATGTTCTACACAAATATGTAACTTGCAGAATATCAGTTGCGCAAGGTTATGTTTCCGATAAACACGTTCGTGTTCACTAGATCCTTATATTATTTTTCACCACCAGCTTCACCATCAAGACATTCTTCAGTAAACTACGCACAAGGATGTCTATGAAACGTGTAACAGTTTGTGTCTAGTCAGAAGTTATTTTGTGTACCATGGGAAATATGCAGAGTTGTGTGAGCGAGGAGTGCTAGAAATGAGAAAGAGCATGTCGACCACCAAGAAAGCGCATACAACACACCTACAATTAGTATGAAAAAGACGACAGTTAGCTATAATACAAACCCCAGATTTGACAACCTTATAATGGAAACTATAAACAGAGAGCTTAATCCACCACACAGACCATACCTAATATAAAATGTAGCGTCGAACTTGGTTATTCCGGCTCTTGAGAAATTCAATAACAGTTAAATAAACTCGAAACAGGTTATTATTCCAGAGAGATAGTTCGGTGTTTCAAGATTTTCGTACTACAGCAAACTGTATTATTTTTCAGGCGTACTTCAGGAATGCCTGACTACCAGTCATAATTTGGTATGCTTGCTAGGAGACGCTTCAGTCCAAAGAATGGTAGGCCAGTTATCTAATCAGTTTTATTTTGGAAAGTAAAGAATGCTTGATAGCCTGTGTTAGTCCCGGCATTGATGGCCTCTCAGATGATCCGACTTTTTTGAAAGAGTAGGTGGATTGAGCCTCAACTATATGCTATCACCCTCTCTTCCTATCACTCCCCATATCTTGACGTCGTCAGCATACAGCAAGACCAATAATTATAGTAGACGAGGAAGATCATTTGCATACAAGAGGAACAACACTGGCCCTAAAACTGTGCCCTGGAGCACTCCACCAAGCACAGTTTTCCAGCCAGACAACTTTGAGTTCATCGTACTCTTTGTTGGCGTCCAACTAAGAAGCCTTTTATGTACATCAATACATTGCCTCCAACCCCAACATTTCTTGACTTATGTAACAGCCGGTTGTGCGGAACTTTGTCAAAATCTTAGCTGAGGCCAATATAGGCTACGTCTACCGGTATTGTTTGATCCTTAAGAGCGCACCAGCTTCCACGAGACACTTATAAGTTAGTGAGACATGAATAACCTATTCTAAAACCATGCTCCTTTTCCGAAAGGACCCGGTTTTCATCAAAATACTTAAACAGCTTCTTCCGAATAATCTTTTCCAAAATTTTAACAACCAGACTAGTTAGACTAACGGGTGGGTAGTTCTCAGGTTTATGTTTGGTACCTGTTTTGAAGAGAGGACTTACTGTAGCGTTCTTCCAGCTTTTCGGCAAACGACCCTTGGTTACGGATAGATTATACTTAAAGGATTCGCAACAGAGGTGATTCCTTTAGTGACCTAGCATGCAGTTGATCGGGTCTCGTGTATTTGTCTATGCCAAGCTTATTTAACAGACCAAAAACATCGAGTTCTTTAATGGTCACGATGTCCAGTGTGTGATGGGGAATTTGTATGAACTAACAGGAAGGGTGTTTCTATGATGTAAACAATGTTAAAGTAGTTTGAGAATGCTTGAGCTTTAACAAATTCGTCATCCACTAATGATGAAGCAGTGCTATTTCCCCATAGTGCTGGAATATTTCCTCTTCTCTTTGTCCTTTGGTTTATGTACGAATACAAGCGTTTAGGACATTCTATGGATTCCTTGACAATTTTCTCTCCGTACAACCTTTTGAACTTATGGAGGATCAAGGCACAGGTATTCTGATTTCGCCTCATCGGTCCCCAGTAACCTAAGTCTATTCCACATTTTACTTGTTTTACGGAGAAGGATGGGAACCTCCACACTGAACAACGGTGATGAGTTTCTCGACCCCCTTGGTGAAGTCTAAATGATGTGGGGTGCAGTGAATTTTGAATCCGTTCCAATTGGGAACTCTGACTCTATTGTCCAATCTACTGACGATCCTGAGTGTATAATATCTTGTATATCTGCTGTCAAGTCGTTATGTCTGGATTGAGCTGACACGTACTCATGTTCGATAATTATATGGAAGTTAAAGATAAGAACTGCATGATCATTTTTACCTAGGGGTGGCGTGTATTCGAAGTTCGTAACGTCGTCCTCACAATGAGTAAATATAAGATCAAGTAAGGATGATTCAGATTCCAGGTCGTACCTAGTCGCTTCTTTCAAATGTTGTACTAGGGCACATTTGATAAGGGCACCAACTAGTTCCTGCTCGGAGGAATTATCTGACAATCCAGTGACTGCGATTATATCTGGCTTAGTAGAGTTGATCTGTACACCTTGTTCCGACCGCTTATTGAGCGAGCTTCGTATTTTAGTGTAACAGATCCAAAACTTATTTAAATGACTTTGTGCTGCACTCAACGTGGCTTCGGCACCATTCTCTGTCGAAGCCCCACAACTCGAAAATTTACAAATGTAGGTCCTTTTCGCCAGCGTCTAACCTAAGTTCTAGTACTTTTTCGGCTTCTCGTCTTTTAACACGTCTGCCAGTGACACGTTCTTACGGGTAAAAACGGGAATTCACTAAGTTAGATACTACCTTGTGCACTACAGTACACACATTCTTGGTGAGAACTAAGCTTCAGAACTGAATTCAGGCTGCAAGCCCCTGTTTAAAAGGTGACTCGGATATCCTGGGAAAAGTACATAGGGCAGCTACCTTTGTGATTCCAGAACTTCGGGTTTACCATACAAAGAGCGGCTGGAAAAGCTAAACCTCTTTACTCTGTCCTATCGCAGACTAAGGAAAGATCTAATTTTGAAGCACAGAATATTAAGAAATGATTTCGGATCTAACATATTCTCTCTTTTTGTTCTTATTAGATCGAGACATCTCAGAGAACATAGCAGGCGAGTAGAGAACAAAGAACGAACGAAACACCTGTGGCATACAGTTTTTCACAGCAAGCCATCAATACTTGGAACCTGTTACCCGAAGCAATCGTGTCCGCACCTACAATTGACCCATTCAACAGAAGACTGTACACTCATAGAAGCATACTAGAAAAGTAATAACATAGGTTGTAGGCCTTCTGTCCTTACTACACAAATCGGAATCTGAAACCATCTTTAATTTATTTCCAGTTTGTAAAATTAAGCCCCGTTCATTGGGAGATTTGGATACTACTTTAGGCAGCCTGGTTTGATTTGGTTTTAAGTCCGCTTGACTACCTAGTCTATACACTTTTAGCAAGGTGACTCCGGAGATATTCCAAGGCATAAGTTAGTTGAATAGCTGTTTTATCAACCTAATGTCATGCTTAAAACGAGTTTCAGGTTCACGGCTTTCACTCTCCTTGGTTCTATAAAAAATAACTGACCTATCACTGTGATCAGTTTTCAATTTCTCGACTACCTTTTTTGGGAGGAGGTAGGATTCTCTTTTATATCGTTATGTCGTTTCCTGCTTACAACCTGTATCCACTCGTCAACTTTCGTTAGAGTAGCAACCACAGTCGCGTTTAATATACTGTGGGATTATGGAGGGTTATCGACGACTTGGGACATCAGGTTGTGTTTCCTGTCAGAAACAGATCGAGCCTTGCGAATGCGATTCCTAAGCGGTTCCTGTTGGATACCATTTAGAAAACGTGGGACAGAGGAAACTTCCTTTTTTGAGCTTTTAATAAGGACATACCTCTTTGAAGACAGACTTTCCTACTTCGATCGATGTGAGTTAGTTGTTTCCGAGCCCACTTGAGGTATCTTCACATCAATTTGTGTGTCGACAGAGCGAGTACTGCCAATGTGTCCCAACCTCGCTTGCTAAAACACTTTTCGCAGCATTCACCATTGAAATGGCCTCGGTTAGTAAGCTGTTTGCGTCCGAACAGCACTGTTGACAAAGCCACACGCAACCGCTGCACTGAGCCATTTGAAGTCCACAGGCGTCATATTGGTGCTAACTTCGTGGTACCAGACTTTGCACACATTGCACTTCATGCCGCTTTCGACGGGATATCAATAGCCCGAACGTTGGCGACTGCTTTTCTTGCACTGTCCAGTTATCGAACAGAGGTTCTCAAAGAGAAACTAGATACAATAGACCCCAGAGACAAAAGTGATCTATAACCAAAATAGTGTAAAGCTGTAAATTGTTAGAACAAAAGTACTAACAAAGACAATGGAAAACAAAATACTCGAAAGTACCGACGATAAACTACTTTAGAAACAAAAACGATACTCCTATCGGATACTTTGACAGAAGTAAATTCAATTAAAGAACAAACAGTAGTCACGATACGTAATAAACAAGCAAAACAATAGAATGTAGTCAGCGAGGGAAAATACCAGTATCCTTTTAAATAGTGCGCATGAGTGAAGTTCCTTGCGATTTATAATCCTCTGAAGTTTCTGTACTTTCATGAAAACGCGTGCTTTAAGTTTAAATAAAATTTGTTATGTGAGTTGTTTCAGTAGTTGATTATTTTATTTTAATTGGGAATCCGAAAAAGACATATGACATCTTACATTTGTCACTACCCATTGATGTTTGATTTTTGAATCCTCGTCATCATAAAATATATCCTTCGTTGAAAATATTCATGTTTACTTTAGAACATGTTCAACAAATTATAACTACATTTCATGTAAATATCATCTATAGCTTTATTTGTGATTTTGTCTATGATTGAACCGGAAATGATTTCTTCGCAATCCCTGTGTATGAATGAAGTTTTTGTGAGTTATAATACGTTTTTTTATGTTATTACTAATGAAACAGTTACTTTACTGAGCCAACTCACCTAGATGTTAGTATGTGATCTAACGTTCCGATGTTTACCGATATATCGTTACCCGTTTATTATTAGAAGAGTATTATGTCGTATAAACACAAGTAAAGGTTTCCGGTATTGAAATGTACGTAGACTTTTAGCTGGAGGTCGTATTTTCTAAACAGGACATCAAATTTTAATTAGCGAATGGAGTCGGAGAGCTTGCTACTTAGTTTCCCGATGTTAAAGATTAGGGAGATCTGATATGACATTCATGATAGAAATGATGTTTGGCATTACAATTTCAATTACATACTCTGTTGTTTTCCATAGTATAACATTTAAACGATTTTATCTTAACTGGATATCTCATAAAAAGAACTTTTATCGCTTTTCTCCGAACCCTAAGAATGTTATGCAATATATTCAGCTTCTCGGACATCAGACTGTGTTTAATTTTCCATCCTTCTTTGTCGAAATCTAAAATTTCTTTTTGATTTTTTCAAGATATACTCCAGTCACTTTCATACGTAAAATACCATCATCTACAGAAGGTTGACCCAAACAAATTTAAACGAAATGGATTCTTAGCTACCAAAAAACGTTACATCATTTTTGCCCTCTTATAAACTTAAATTTCCTAACTGATTGCTATACAATTGTTTATGTGCTCTTTGATCATCGTTAATGATTAAATAAATGCGTCTGAGTTCTAACTTCGTGCTGATGATGAGTTCTTATTGAGATATCAGTTTTAGTTGAAGCTGTTATTCTTGTAAAAAATAAATTTTTAGACATTAAGTAGCAAATATTAAGTCTAACAAGTGTATAACATTCTCAAAACGAACCAGAAAGGAAATGAAGTCAGATTATTAGATAGTGTCTATCATAGTACGACCAATAAAAAGTGTAAATTGTTATTAGATCTGTGATACTTTCCACTGAAAATGGTGAATAAAATTTTTCATTTCCTAAAAACTCATTTTTGAAAACTTTTGATGAATGAAATAGAAAACTGATGTCGTGACTTGTACTTGGACGGCAGTGAAAAATTATGTTAAATAAACGCTAGGTTTACATATTACTAGATGACTAATATCGGCTTTCGGAGTAAAAGACTGTGTTTGCAGTTGCATTAAGAATATATATTGTTAAGTAATTGGAACACTGTGTCAACCTTAACCAAGTTGTTATTTTTCAACGTGGTTTATTACTATCAGTCGCTTCTGGTTTACATGATTATTAAGCACAACTTTATGATAGTAGAATATGACTTGATCTGATTCACTACAGATAAAATACACCAAGTATCTGAATCATTGCAGCAATAAATGAATGTCAATAGATCCTTTGATTAACAGGAAGTCTGAGGTAAATATTGCTAACTTTCAAGAGTTACTTTAAAAATTGGAGATCGCCCTGAAGCGTCATAAAGATCTTTTATTATTGAAAAATTAACTGTTTATCATCGGTTTTCACTTAAGTTAAATAGTAGCTCAAACATATTTTTTTTGCTGACGTTTCAAGTGATTTGTAGTTATGAATATCCTCTGTTACATGAGTGGAAATATTTATAACAACTAAGCTCACATTACTATGTTAATTATCTTCAACTATTTAAGTTAGTACTGAGCTAAATAATATTTAGAAGCAAAATTCATTCATAAATGATTCAAGTTCATGACAAACTACCACCAATCAAGTATTCAGAATCCTCTTCCTATCATCTATATCAAAGTATATAAGACAGAACTTAAAGAAAATTTATTAATCTCATATCCTTTTCATTTCACCAATAAGTAAAGATGATCAATACGAAATGTTTTTGGGAAATACAAGTGGTAAATAACCTTCAATCACCTTCAATAAAAAGGAAGGTAAATAGTTATAGACAGGTAAATTAATCAAGTGACCTATATATATATATATATATATATATATATATATATATATATATATATATATATATATATATATATATATATATATATATATATATATATATATATATATATATATATAGTGTTTATATAAATCTTTATAATTTGACAGTAATTAAAAATGCACAATAATTATAAAATAGTTGTAAGTTTATCAAGGGCATCACAAACAGTTTGATCCTAAAATACAAAGAACAGTAAAAAGAAACATTAAACATCTTTCTTCATCACGAGTTCATAATTAAAAATAAAGTACAACATGCTGTTTTGAATAGTAAAATTAATAATGAAAATCCTTGGGAAAATAAGAACAGAATAAAAATTTCTCTATGAAAACCAACACAACTCAAAAAAACTATAATTAAATTATTAAAAACAAGTAAAATAAGTAGTTTTTACCCTTACCATCACAGTAACTCTTTAAACAGCCAAGGAAATAAATTATTTATGGTATAATAAAAAAATAATAATCAACACGTAAAACTTCATGCCATCCTTCAAATGTTTAGTTGGGCTAAAATATGGACTATGTATGAATTCTGTTGTTGATACAGAAAGTTAGATTTTATTCTCATTTACAACTCATAACAGGGATTATTCGAGATTCACTTCAGGATCGACGGTAGTGTTGTGATGAAAATCTAGTAAAAGCTAACTCCTAACCATAAGTAACGATTACTATCTTCGTTCATTTGTTCACTAGATATCAGTTGTTGGTTTATGCCTTTATGTGGAGGTTATCAGCTCATGCACACACTTAACGGAAATGAATTTGAGTTCAGCACAGCCCAAATGCTCCATAGTAAATCCTTCTTGATGGATGTATATTGCCCGTGGTAGTAAACATTTAGAATTTTTTATTTGATACCGTATTACTAACTGATCAGTTTTAAAAAATGGAAAATTTTAAAGCTATGAATGTGAAAGTTTGGTTCCTTATGTTACTCGATTTATGACTAACTAATCAAAATGTATGAATAAACCTAAAATGATGTCCATTTGAAAACCATAGAAGATAATCTTCACTGATCAAAAAGTTTATACATCAATTTCTGACTCATTACAAATCCTCAGATGTCCATCTTGCCGAACTAAACAATTAGATTATAAGAAAACAATCAGTTGATCCTTATGACATAATTGCACTGATCAATGAAAGAATTTCCAGAAAATCATGATCTTTCATCAAAAAAATATTACCCAGTTACTTAGAAGCTATTTACGAATGCATGTATTATGTTTTGAACTATACTTACGTTACGCACATAGAAGTACTGCCGCGATTTCAGAAATTGAGCAGACTGAGTTCATTTTAAATTTCTGGGGTCAAGTACAGAAACTAATGAACCACGGGGCCTTCTCAAGCTTCAGTCTCTTAATAAAGCGAACCATTCAAAACCTCCTTTTCAATTTATATTCATTATTTTTATATCTACCTCCGAATCCTGACGCAATCTTTTCCTTGGCCATCCTCGTTTCCTTTAACCTTTAGAATTCCAGGTTAGAGCTGTTAACTTACGGAATGTATATCCTACCCGTCTTCAGCGTCTTTTCCCAATTTCCTCCTTAGATGGAAGCTGGTTTGTTCTCTGCTGTAGTAGGGATAGAAGGGCAAGATCATCTGCGAAGTACAAGTCGTCTAGCTACATCCGAACTGTCCATTGTATTCCGTGCTTCCCATCGGATTCGGAGTTCCTTATAAACTAGTTAACTACCAGAAGCAAGATAGAGGGTGGGAGTAAGCAACAATGTCTGGCATCGATCTACAGTTAGAATGCACTTGTCAGCCGTCCTTCATGAACAACTTTGTAGTGTAGTTCATTATAAGAATTCCGTATGATGTTGACAACTTCCCCAGGTAGACCATAGTATCGAAGAGGGCTCCACTCAAATAATCCTCTAGATTTGGTCTGCACACAATGATACATACTACTTATATCTGTCTACATCAGTAGCGCACATCATACTACTACTGTAAAATGTTTTTATAACAGATATTAGTAATATTTGTATAAGTTTGAAATTTCATATTCAGGATTTTAGTTGATCAATCACTATTGGGATATGGGAATCCTTAGCAGATATTATCATTTATCCACTAGCTTTTTTTATTTAAATTGGATAATGTCTAGCAGTGTAATTCAATCGGATTATTTCATTCTAGACGAAATAATTCTTTCAGCTAGACCACCATGGAAAATCTGGAAGTAAGACATTAACACCGTTAAATACCGGCTCAGTGATCTAGTGGTTAAGTGTACGTGAGCGAGACTGATAGGTCCTGGGTTAGAATCTCTCGTGGGCCGGGATCGTGGATGTGCACTACTGAAGAGTCCCACAATAAGATGAAACGGCCGTCTAGTGCTTCCAGGTTTTCCATGGTGGTCTAACTTCAATTGACTCATGATTTCAACTATTGAAACTCATAAATTTTTGATATTATCAATTAATTATCAATTATTTTTCTAATGAAAATAAGTTAATAGAAAATTAATTATAAACTAATATAAACTTACATAAGCACACGCCTGTAAAAATTCTTCATAACTTATTACACCATCTTGATTTAAATCTAATCTCTATTAAAAGATTAAATAAAGAAAATTATTTATTTATTTTTCATGAATATTTCTTTCAGTTGTAGGTGATCTTGTTTTATATTTTAAAAATTCAATTATTTGAGAACAATAACTGAAAATAGTTGATCATAAATAGCTTAGTCTTTCATAAACAAATATGAACTGATTCAATTTGATGCATACATTGTTAACAAAATGTAAAGGAAATTTACAAAATGAATAGTAAAGAAGGTAAAATAATTAATTTAGTGATAGTTAAACTAACTACAGAGAATCTAATTTGAGGAATGTAATCGACGGTTGAAACGTATGAACTAACATTGAATCTCTATACTTCTTCCATAGGAACCAATAATTACCTCAAAAAATATATATGAGTACTTCTTTCTAACAAGTAATTTGAATTAAATAACCTATAACCGACTTTTTTTCAAATCTTTAAAACACATGCTGAATCAGGATCACCTAGACAAGTTACATATGTCAATAAAGAAAATTTGTCAAAAATTGTCTAAGGCAAAATAAGATCACTTGTTATGATCTGAGAGACTTCTAATGTATAATTCATGGTTATGTGAAGTGTTAAATATATGAAGTTCTTCAACAGACTTCATTGAAACATGTTTGATGATGATCTTTCAGTGTCATTTCGTGTACCGATCACATACATAAGCAAACTTGGACTACTATAGGAACTTTTAGGTGTTATAAAACAAAATAACTTAACATATTCTTAAAATATTTAGTTCTTAGTAATAATGGTTACGAAATAAATCACATTCAAACAGTGAGTTTGTTTTACATATAGTTCACTTAACTTTTTCAGCTGTTTAATCCTATCTATTGATTTTTGAACACTGTAGTTTATAACAGTGAAAGGATTTTCCAGTTGAACAGTGAAAATTTAATCTCAGACTTAGATAAAACAGTGAAGATCAATGCTTTCTGATAGTCATTTTAAACTCTTTATGTAGGCATCAGTTTGTCTATAGTGAATATTGTACTTTATCTATCGATAAATAGCACGTTACATTTATCAAGGGTATCGGAGTTCAACGTTTTACCATATAGTTGTATTTTTTTTCATGTCTTAACTTAGTTACACATTTGTTTAATGTAAATATGATCAAACATACAACGGTGAAACCATTGTTTACGTATCTTGCCAAAGAATATTCGTAAAAAAAGTTTTTTCAACCATTGATTTGTTTACAGATTACAATACATTTGAAAATATAGTAGTCAATCATTTCAGAAACTGGTTACCTCATGAAAATTTGTTTCTAAGTATTATATTTATTTTCATTTGTAATCGACAACTTATTGGAATTGAAATATTTACCAAAATGTTATGAAATAACTCTTTATCATCACTATATGATACTGAGTATATTTACTATTTCTTATTTTAATCTAAGTTTTTCTATTTTAGTATTTTACAATAAACTATTTAAATAAACAGTATTGAGCGATACATGAAACTATTTTATTTTTGCGTTCCGCAATCGGTAATGTTTCAATTCCGTAACGAATCATTCATCTTTTTGATTTTAGGGTTTCAATACTTAGCTCATTATTTTAGCTATCATGGTATCTCATTTTTCTTTTCAATTTTTAGATTCTTCATGTATTTTGCTCTTGGGAAGTTGGAAGGAATGTTGTTAAACCATGTGACATCATTTGTTTACAAAATACTTTGATATTAACTCTTTTTATCTAATCCTTTTATTGTGTATATGTATTTTTGATTTCGATGTAAATAATCTTTGAATAATTAATATTCTGGTAAGAGTAACGCTTTCATCAGACTAATAGTCGATTTTAAAACCGAAATATTCGTAATTTAGTTTAACTATACAAAGTGAAATTCACTTGGTATTGTTTGCTTGTATCATCCCATTGTTGTTTAGGACTGAAATTGATCAGTCTCATGCTTGAATATGTGCATCCTGTGCGGATTGCCTTGATATTACCTTAAGTCACAAGCTTTATAAGTAAAGATGAATGGTGGCCAGCTGTGGAATCCTAGACGCGCGTTTCGTTCTATTTGAGACCTTAACTCTAAGATACAGATACATTCAGCTGACGAGTCAAAAATAGAATGGAACGCGTATCCTGGATTCCAGTGCTAGCCGCCATTCATCTTTGCTTATATAAAAAGTGAACTTTAAAATTTTCTCTAAAAAAATTGAATTTTTTATTTCTATAAAGTACAAATATCTCATTGATTAGTGATATAAAATGTGTACAATTTATAATTTAGTTCACTGGTAGTTAACCACTAAAAGATTTATAATGAAAAGTTTTGATAATTTTTAAAAAAAACTTGGAATTTTAGTGACCAAATGTAGACATGTAATTCTTAGATAACGTTTTTTGAAAATAGAATCTTCAACTTTATGTTAAGTTAGTTTTATGCGAAAAGCACAGTGATACTTTAGTTGTCTTCATAGTTTGCATTGATTCAAAATTAGGAATTCGTTAAGTCACGTTATCTATAGTCATAAAACAATTTAAAATAACGAAGACACGTATCACGCACATCACTAAAGTTTTTTGAACATATAAGCTGGGTCATTAAATATCTCAATTTTTTAATCGTTATTTAATTTTTTTACAATTGGGAACTTAATTTCTTACTTGTCGGTTAACATCACCTTGACGTGTTTTGTTATAGAGACTTCAGCTATATAAGTTCCTAGTCAGTTATGAATAGCTGTTACCATGTAACATAGACCTGTCAAGTGAAGGCTAAAGTTGACAAATTAATGTTGCCTAATGGCTGTTTATTAAACTGGTTTATCTTCTTCTTCAGTCACTAACGATACTGACAATGATAGATAGTGCAGCAACATGAAGAACCTCATAAAAATTACACTTATTTATCGATTGGACTGATACGATGGGCAAGAATTAGGTCTAAAAGTCAGACCATAATTGGCTGGAGAGTAAGTGACTTACATGATAATTTTCTCCAACTTTCCATAGTTTTGACTATTTTTTCATCTCAGCATTTTGTTCGTGTGCATATCATTCTGTTGCATGGAGAAGCTATTCTTCTAGGTAGTGATCTTATCTTAATTTCAAATCATCCGGGATCATGATTGAATACTTCAGTCTTGTTAACACACATTTCTTGATCAGTGACAATCATCTAATGGTTATCATCCTGTCCTGTCATTTTAACAGTCGAAAATTAATTTGCTAAATTATAAAACTTTAATTTATTACGTGGAATCAGATTTTTCTGTATGTTAGCTAAATAAGACTATACTCTCTACCAGACTTATTGAGCTTAGTTAACGATTAGATTTGCATGTGAGTGATTGTAGATGAATTTACTGAGCTTTCGTTCGTGTTGGTTTTTTTATTCGCTATTTTGACGGGTGTATGTACAAATATTTGATCACTCATTTCAATGGCTAGCTGAATATCTATCCACCATACAAATTAATCTCCTATATCTTGAAAAAAAATCATATTCACATAAAATGTTAAACAATTCCGTTAGATATTCTACAAATAAAATTTAAAAATCAGACATTTACTTTGTCTGACTATTGTTTTGAAATGAAGTATAGGGTTTGCAAACTCATTACGATTGTTACGCTACAAAACATCTAGATATTCATCAATGATCAATTATGGCTAATTTTATTAAGATGCATAAGCTGAAGGTTTAGACGCCAGTACTCAAGACTCATCCAGTCTTAGAAAAACCAATCAAATTAAAGCTGCTTCATCATTATTCCAAATTACTCAATACACAATAAATAATTCATTTAAAAATTTAGCCATAAAAAAACAAAATATAACTCACTTGAAATACTCTTTCTACATGATTAGCTGTGGTCGACTCATTAATTGGTGGTTCCGTATTTCTTCCCAATAAATCATAAATTGCATTGACAACTTTAAGCATTTCACCTTTAGTCACATAACCATCACCATTAATATCATACAGTCGAAATGCCCAACGTAATTTGTCATTTTGTGTGCCATGCATTAAACATGATAAACATTGAATATATTGCTAAACAAACAAGTATACCAGAAGGGGTTTCATGGATATTATAGTAATTTCAATAGTTTAGATTATGAGTCAATTGAAGCTAGACCACCATGAAAAATCTGGAAGCACTAGACGGCAGTTTCGTCCCATTGTGGGACTCCTTAGCAGGGCGCATCCACAACCTCGGCCCTCGCGAGATTCGAACCCAGGACCTATCAGACCTATCAAACTGGCTTCGGGAGGGATACCCTGAAAATCTAGTAAGAAGCAGTGACCAGTGGAGTTCAACCATGTCTGTTGTGAGATAGTAACTCACTCAAGACAATGGTGGATGTGTCACTCAATTTCATGGATTAGTTGAAGTTGGACATTAACACCGCTGGATACGGCCCAGTGATCTAATGGTTAAGCGTACGTGAGCGAGACTGATAGGTCCTGGGTTAGAATCTCTCGTGGGCCGGGATCGTGGATGCTCACTGCTGAGGAGTCTCACGATAGGATGAAACGGCTGTCTAGTGCTTCCAGGTTTTCCATGGTGGTCTAACTTCAATTGACTCATGATCTCAACTATTGAAACATGTATACATTGAAAATTGATAAATGTGATTGATACTAAAAACTTAGTAAATTCTTGGTAAATAACCCTTAGTTAAGAAATATTTTCTCCTTTTTAAAATAGGTTGTATAAAATACAGAACTCTAATTCTGCTATTTGCGATGTGAGTACAGAATTATTGTAATAATAATGCCTACTCAGTTTGATTGAATCAAAATTTGTTTATGGTATTATTTCTTTGGGAAAATCATTCAGATTCTAAAAAACACATTTTATTTCGTGCTATAAAAGTGGTTTGAAAGTAGATTTATTAAGTAAGGGCAGACACCAACTGACACGTTCGTTAAATTTCCGAGTAAAAAATGTCAATTTTCATTTAATATAAATACTCCAAATTTACCATATGCATTTAGTTTCAAATCCATATATAGTCCATCCAAAATATGAAGACAAAACACACCTACAATTGAACGATTCGTCTAACTGACAATTCATGAAGTATCAAAAGTAATTTGAAAATCAAAGTTTAATGAATGTTATTATTCAATCGATGATGCATTTTATAATACAACGAAGAAATTAGCAGGGAAATTTAATAAACGAAAGTGACCAGTTAATAATAAAGAAGGCAAATCAGTCACTGAGATTCAAGAACAATGGATCAGCTGGACAGGACAATTTGAAGAACTCTTGAATAGACAAGACTCACTGAACCAATTATTAACCGAAGAGGTACACTCAGATCTCTTTGTAGATGTCACCTCACCGACGATCGAAGAGATGAGGTTGGCCATCAGACAAATCAAGAGTGGGAAAGCAGAAGTTTGAACAGACAATATACCGGCTAAAGCACTGAATTCAGACATAGGATTAACTGCAAACATGCCCCCTATTCTATTCAGAACGTATTGGGAAGAAGATCAAGTGTAAACGTCGCACGAAATTTATAGGATGGACTACACTGTAAAGTCGTTCATGAAAGATAGCTGGAGAACTACCACAACCATCACCGAAGAAGTACAAGTATTTTTAAACGATTGTCTACGTAAGATACTCAATATTCGTTGACCAAATACCATCAGCAACAACCTACTGTGTGAGAGAACAAACCAGCTCCCTGTTCAAGAGGAAATTGGGGAAAGATGGTGGAGATGGGTAAGATATACATTTCGAAAATCCTCAGACTACATCACGGAGCAAGCGCTAACTTGTAATCCTGAAGGGGAACGGAAAAGAGAAAGACCAATGAACACATTGCGTAAAGAGTTGGAAGCAAATATGAAAATAATGAATAAGACCTGGAAAGGATTGCCCAGGACAGAGTTGGATGGGGAATGTTTGTGGACGACCTATGCTACTCTACGAGGAGTAACAGGCGTAAATAACTATGTAAGATGCATTTTAGTCAAAATCATAACTAGTTAACTGAGCATTTAATCTACCTTTGGCTTCTGATATTTAGAGCAAAACAGTTTAGTGAACATTCTTCTTCACAGTGAAATTGTTAACGGGTGTTACTCGAGTTTATGCCGATAATAAATCAAATAAAGCAGTTTACGAGGGATTGATGACAATGAATTTCTAATGAATTTAAACCTAACAGATCTATTTCTTCGACTGCATTAATCAATAGCTTTTTCGTGTTGTCCCGTTCATATTCTCATGGTAACTAAGGTTTTGAAATTTCATTACGTAATCTATTTAGTTGTTATCAATGACTCATAAATTATTTTATATAACTTAATCATTTTCACTTTTAGAAACCAATATTACATAATTTTAGAAAGAATCATCATGAAGGTTTAACTGAGATCAATATTTGTTCACTTATATGTCTTTCTGACTTGAACAATAAGAATTTTCAAAGTTTTTAAAATGTAAAGAAATATTTGAGTGTCAGAAATAGTCGCTTATGTAATTGTATCAAATAATGAACGGAAGCGATAACGTTTTTGATGACACTATCGAACCTCCTAACTACTGATTTTAATAAGTTTAAGGATGTTTAGATTATGGGTAACAGTTGGATCTGGAGAGAACGTCTCATGCTATTTGAGACTCGTCAGGTAATGTACTCAGAATGCCGAAATATCATCAGCTACTGAGAGATCGAAGTCCTTGATGTTAGTTAACAAAGAGATATTACAAACCTTTCCTATTATTAATAGTCTCAATCTTGGGATTAAATAATGAATTTACTAGGTATTTATGAGTCGTTAATAATTAATTCACAAACTGTTTTATTGAATTTAACTTACTTCAAATGTTAAAGTCCCATTACGATCTTGATCAAATGACCTGAATACTAATTGAGCATATACAGTTGCATCTAAAATGTAAAAAAAGAAATAATTATTGAATTAAAACAAGATGTAACATGAAATATTCAATGAAATATAAATTTATAATATTACCGTTACAACAAAGAGCCAGGTTTCATTTTTTGTCTACACAAATTATTGAAGAATATCGGTAACTGTTAACTTGGAATACAATCATTGTCTTCCATTAATTGTATGAATAATTGATGTAAACATGTGGGTATTGTTTGTTTGTTTTTAATAAGAAAAAAACTCAAATACCAAAGTGAGTAAGCAATTAAGTGTAATCTTTCGATAATTAAATAATGGTCTAGTAAATTACGTCATTTCTTTAGTGCTATTATTTTCAAAGTCAATTAAGACTTTGTCAGAATTAACCTCTCTAAAATTAGCAAGTCTGAAAAAATAACTGATTGAAACGGAATAAAAAATTTAATACAACTTTATTCTACTCAATGTAAATTGTATTTTTAGTGATAAATGTTATGACACAGCTTTATGAGTACTGAAATGTGAATCATAGTAACAGGATCAGGCGTTGACTACCTTTCTCATCGGTAGTAATGAAATACTGAATAGATATCAACCGACTTCTTTATAAATATTGTATTTTGTAGGGATTTTGTTTGTAGCATATTTATTTACTAACTCAGCCTGGAGTCCCTCCGGGGGCTACTGCCGGTCCCAAGCTCGGATAAAAGAGGACGGTTGGGCATGGGGTTAGCGACCCCATCCCGTAGAAAACTAACTCGCTAAAAAAAGTGCTAACCAGAAAAATTTATTCAAACCATTTAAACTCTGCCCCGGGAGTCAGAAGGTCTTCGTTTAGAAGAATTATCACACCTTATGATGAAAGCCGAGTTCCTTCGGAAGTCACGAGGCTGATGCCCCTTCTGACAACCAGAGCAACCATTTATTTAGGTACATAGAATGCTCGTACAATGTGTGAGACTGGGAGAGTTTTCCAAATTGCTGCAGAAATGAGGAGATACAACCTGGAGGTGCTTGGGATCAGTGAAACACATTAGACACAAGTTGGACAACAACGACTAGCTTCAGGGGAACTTCTGTTATACTCTGGCCATAAAGAAGAAAACGCCCCAGATACACAAGGAGTTGCATTGATGCTGTCTAAACAAGCACAAAATGCACTTATAAGATGAGAATCTCATGGACCAAGGATCATCAGAGCCTGCTTCAAAACAAAGAAAGAGGGCATTTCAATGAACTTCATCCAATGCTATGCGCCTACCAACGACTACAATGAAGACGTAAAGATCAATTCTACGATAGGCTGCATTCAATCGTCGAGAAGCACCCAACGAAGGACCTGACCATTCTGATGAGAGATTTAAATGCCAAGGTTGGAATTGACAACACCGGATATAAAGACATCAAGGGACGACACGGACTGGGAGAAAAGAACGAAGATGGTGAAAGATTTGCAGACCTTTGTGCTTTCAATAAACTGGTCATAGGCAGCACTATATTCCCACATAAACGCATCCACAAAACCATATGGACTTCACCGGATCACACCACACAGAACATAATCGACCATATCTGCATCAACAAAAAGTTCAGGAGGACGATGGAGGTCGTGAGAACAAAGAGAGGAGCCGATATAGCATCACATCATCACTTGCTGGTCGCCAAGATGAAATTGAAACTCAAGAGGCACTGGACAACGGGGAGGACAATATCACAAAAACTTAATACGGCTCTTCTTCGGGATAATGACAAACTCAATAAATTCAAGATAGTTCTCAGCAAAAAGTTCCAGGCCTTTCACGATCTACTCAATGAAAGAGGGAACTACCATAAAGAGCAACTGAAAAGGGATCAAAGAGGCAATCACTTCAACATGTCATGAGGTTCTGGGCCACAGGAAGCACCGTCACGTCACAAGGAACGGACCACTGTTGATAAGATTCAAGAAAGGAGGAACAAGAAGGCAGCAATCAACAACAATTGAAGAAATCAGCACGGCCATCAGACAAATAAAGTGTGATAAAGCAGCAGGACCAGACAACATTCCAGCAGAGGCACTGAAAGCAGACGTAGCGGTAATTGCAAGGATACTCCACGTTCTCTTCAGCAAGATTTGGGGTGAAGAACAAGTACCAACAGACTGGAAAGAAGGACTTCTGGTCAAAATACCAAAGAAAGGCGATCTCAGCAACTGTGACAACTACAGGGGCATCACTCTTCTCTCAATACCAGGAAAAGTCTTCAACAGGGTACTGTGAAACAGAATGAATGACTCTGTAGATGCCCAACTTCGAGACCAACAGGCTGGATTCCGTAAGGATCGATCATGTACAGACCAAATAGCGACTCTACGGATCATTGTGGAACAATCAATTGAAAGAAAATCATCACTCTTCATCAACTTCATTGACTATGAAAAAGCATTTGACAGTGTGGACAGAACAACACTATGGAAGCTTCTTCGACACTATGGCGTACCTGAGAAGAGTCAACATCATATGAAATTCCTATGATGAAATAAACTGCAAAATCTTGCATGAAGGACAGTTGACCAGTGTCAGGCAAGGTTGCTTACTCTCATCCTTTCTCTTTCCCCTGGTGATCAACTGGACCATGAAGATGTCAACATCTTAGGGGAAGCATGGGATACAGTGGACAGCTAGAATGCAGTTGGATGATCTGGACTTTGCAGATGATCTGGCTCTCCTATTGCACACTCAACAACAAATGCAGGAGAAGACGAACAGTGTAGCATCAGCCTCAGCAGCAGTAAGTCTCAACATACACAAAAAGAAAAGCAAGATTCTCTGATACAACACAGCATGCACCAATCCAATCACAATTGACGGAGAAGATTTGAAAGATGTAAAAACTCTCAACCAATATCAAGGTCAGGATTTTCAATACAAATGTCAAAACAGTTCTACTGTATGGGGAAGAAACCTGGAGAACTACGAAAGCCATCATCAAGAAGATACAAGTGTTTATTAACAATTGTCTACGCAAAATACTTCGGATAGGTTGGCCAGACACTACACTAACAGCAACAACCTACTGTGGGAGAGAACGAACCGAATCGCAACGGAGGAAGAAATCAGAAAGATGTGCTGGAAGTGGATAGGACACACATTTAGGAAAGCACCGAACTGCGTCACAAGGCAAGCCCTCAGATGGAATCCTCAGAGTTACAGGAAAAGAGGAAGACCAAAGAACACATTACGCTGGGAAATGGAAATAGACATGAGGAAAATGGACAAGAATTGGAGAGAACTGGATAAGAAGGCCCAGGACAGAGTGGGTTGTAGAATGTTGGTCGGCGGCCTATGATGCTCCATTAGGATTAACAGGCGTAAGTAAGTAAGTATTTATTTACTGTGGATCAATACCATTACTTTATGTCAGATTCATTTACCAAGTAATCCTTAGCAGTACAAGTTGTTATTACATAACGGCATTGACCACCCACCAATCAAATAATAGTTAGATCATTAGTTCAGTCCACACCACTAAATTTAACTGCAGTTATTAGTTTTATATAACTTGCTAAGACTCATTGGTTTTATGAGTAGTTAAGAAATTTGAACAGATCCAAAATAGACAGAATTTCGTCATCAATTGACATTTTCAGATAAAGATTATAGTTCTCGCCAAAGATATGATCATGTCATATGAATTGTAATAACTGTACAAGTATTTCTAACATTAAGCCCTCAATGGATTCAGAACATTATTACTTCAGCATACACAAAATAGTTCAATGTTCTTGAAAACGAACCTAAATCACAGGTCACGTGTTTTCTGCAAAGCTGATATTAATCGTTTTCTGAAAATATACATTCTATATCATTTTCTTAAGTTGTACAATCGTATTCATAGGTAATTTCATGTGTGATAATTAAATCATCTATTTTACCATAGATTATCTCTTGTGAAATAATCTACAAATATAATTGTATATAATGGAAAATAACAATTTCTCTACTGAATCATCTTCATTCTTTGAATGTTATTCTAAAATTACTTATTTAACATTCGAGCAATCGAAAAGGGAGATAATTTAATACAGTACACAGGAGTTAGTCCTAACAGTCAGGTTTTAATTGGTTGAAGAGTGGTCTAGATACTGGTTTCATTCAGTCAACATAACAAGTTACTACATATATTTTATGTGAATATTATGTGTACGACCATGCCATTTTATTAAATAAGAAAAATATGGAGAGATTATAATTTATGAACAAACCAGTGAGATTAAGGTTAGCAAGTCATTATAGTTAAATAGTATTTCGGGATTGTAGCTGATGTCAGTTTGTGGTGAAAACGCTTACTCTAATTCCCAGCCCTAACTTTTAACTTTAAACCGTAATATCCTAATTCCTCATACTAATTTTTTATGTTCGTTTAACCCTAGTAAGTAGTTGAGTTGTCTCGTAGTCACTTCATTGTCCCTTAATGGCTGTCCGTAAATCATAGTCTCATCAGCTTAGATTAACTATACGGTATTGTGAACTAATATCACTCAGCGACTTCATGCCATTTCATACATTTATCGATCAGCATGCTTCTTTGTATTTTAACAATCGAAAATTTGTTTATAAAATCATGAACCCCACCTCTCATTACATGGTTTTTCACAGTTAAAAAAGGATCTTTTTCGATTCATTCTTAAGTATAAAATCACACAATTTACTGTAAATTAGTGATCAAGATTTATAACTGTTTAACCCCATGCTACTCAGATCGTTTATGTCATGTGTTAACCAGTAGGGAGTAATCAGCAGGAGATATTTAGCCGGTACTTTTCTCCTATTGATAATTATCATTTGAACAAAATAATATAAATTAATTTTTGTTTCACAATTAAGATAATGTTGTTTGATATTGTATTTAGACAAATAACATTTCTGATGATTAAGCTATCACTAATTTTATCAAAGATTAGATCAAGTAAGGGTACTGATCAGTATATTTTAATTATTGGTTTGTAAACTGAAGATATCAACTAGTGGATGGTTTA